AAGGAAGTATCCCAAAAGTCATAGGGGCGGTGAGCATCACTTTTCTCCCATATGTGTCGGAAAGATTGCCGATCAATGGCATCATCACCAGTGACCCCAGTCCAATTATCTGCCGTACAGTTCATGCAAATATCATTAATTCATTAATAAATAATTCCAAACAAAAGTATATCTTAAAATATTAATAAGAAATTGGAATCAATGAAATCAGCCCTTATTTGCTTCAGATAAAAATTAAATTTTTAGTATATTTTGATAAAAGTTGACAGAAAAGTTGTGGGTCCACGAAATGTGTAATTAAAAACAACTGTTGATTTCGACTTAGATTTTTAATATAATTTTGTACCTGGAGTAAATAGGGGCTAACTGAAAAAACGAAAAATCTTGAGATCTTATTATAGAATTCTTTAAAGTAATAGGGCAAACTTAGATTCCAAGCAATAATATTGTAGAAGTATCTATATATATTTACATTGGAGAAGTATCTATATATATTTACAAAAGGATGCCAACATCAATCTAGTGTCACTTTTTGAAAGCGAGTGAGTCATGACTTCTAAGCAAGTTAACTTCCAACTATAATCTACCAAAATGTAATTAAAAATTTGGAAAATCATCACGAATATTTTTCGAACGTGTTATAGTATTAAGTAAGCAAACACGATAAAATTGGACGGGTTTCAACCCTTTTCAAAGTTGAGTGATAGTAGTGAAACAATTTAAAATTTAATGATTGAAAAGATATTCACAAGCTATTTAGACTCTAAGTTCTACTGAATCGATCTAATTTTCGTTAAAAGTTAAGTACGTCGATTATTATTTTCAAGTCGAGATTCTAATTCGCATAAAACCTCTATTCAAAGAGACTGACCATCCAACCAATTTTCATGTTCTTGTCAATGAATAAAACTAGAGCATTTAATAATATGGTAAGTACCTAGGAGACTAGCACAAGACTTTTGGACCGACCCTTCCACAAATGTTATTCAAAAGAATGAATCCGATAAAGAAAGTTATGGGCATCACTATGAGCGGTACTCGCAATCAACTAACCCAAAGTCGATATCTTGGGCAGGTAGATTGCTTTTTGGACGCTAAGAACATGTTTGTAAAGTGTTTATAAATGATTTAAATCATAAGTAATAAAAATGAGTAGTACTTATAAGTAATTTTTTTAATGTGTAATTTTTTTTAACGTATTAG